GAGATGATTTTACGGAGAAAGGAGTGATCAACATTGTCAAATTGCTGAGAGATGGGCCAAGATGAGGACTGAAGATGTCATCAGATTTGGCAGTTAGGAGGTCATCAGTGACTTCCAATAAAGTAATTCCAGGAAAACAATTGGAGCAGATTTAGACTCTAGTAAGTTGATGAGTAAATGCAGGGGGAGTTTATCTAGAAAAAGTTTCTAAGGAAGGATAGGAAGAGGCAAGAAAAACCGACGAGGGGCAAAAAATGAATCAATAGAATAGGTATCTCAGTGCATGCAAACAAGGTAAAAGGCTGCCTGCATAAGGCAGCAGAGGAAGACAGGTTGGGGAGACGGGTGGGAGCAGGTCTGAGGACACACAGAAAAGAGGAAAAGATATGCAATCCAGCCATCTTTGCTTCAATTTCTGTCTCCCCCTTCACTGAGTGAATTTAGGTGTGCTACTTAACCTCTGCCCTTCAATGTTAAAGAGGAATCCTCAGAAGACAGGCACTCCAAAAATACCCTACAGTAACGATGATGCATTTCTAAGAGGTTCTCTTATGATTGTAATGTAGGCTGATGACACAAGTCCACAGAGCAATTCTAGGAAAGAATCTTACAAGGGGACAAAATGATGAATTTCAAGTTCATGGCTTTCTGACAGTTTGGCTTTTAAGAGTATCCAGAGGTGAAATAGCAAATGGATTTCATGTTGCATGCCAATGCTGATGAGATGCCAATGGCTGCCTGAAGCACTAGTCAGAAAGAATTGTGTTTGAGCAAGAGTCTAAACTCAGTTTAAGAAAGGGGTTATGCCAATTCTCCTGTTTCCCAGGTCCCCCCTCCTTCCCTTCTACCTTTTCTCTCCCCATCTCCCCTTACCCCCATCCCACCCCACCCCCAAGATCCCATTTTCTCCCCGGAAATTTGGTCTACTTCCCTTAGCCAAGAGGACAACTATATGTTTTTCCTTGGGTTCACCTTCTTACTTAGCTTCTTTAGGTTCACCTATTGTAGACTCCGTGGTCCTTATTTATGGCTAGAAACCAATTATGAGTGAGTACATCCCATATTCATCTTTTTGGGTCTGGGACACCTCACTCAGGATAGTGTTTTCTATTTCCATCCATTTGCATGCAAAATTCGAGAAGTCATTGTTTTTTACCGCAGCGTAGTACTCTAGCGTGTATATATTCCATACTTTCTTCATCCATTCTTCCATTGAAGGGTATCTAGGTTGTTTCCAGGTTCTGGCTATTACAAATAATACTGCTATGAACATAGTTGAACAAATGCTTTTGTCATTTGATAGAAAGGTGGATAGGGGAGCACGGAACCACAATTCTTAGTTAAGGGAGCCACTTTAGGGTGGGCGAGATACTTGACCCTAGAGGGGCTCCCTAGTGCCCAAGATGAGGTTCCCAGTTAGTTCCTTGGGCAGCTGAGGATTGGGAACCTGAAAGGACCCTATCCTAGAGCAATACTGACGAATATCTTGCATATCATCATAGAATCTTCATCTGGTGATGGATAGAGATAGAGACAGAGACCCACACAGGAGCACTGGACTGAGCTCCCAAGGTCCCAATGAGGAGCAGAAGGAGGGAGAACATGAGCAAAGAATTCGGGACCACGAGGCGTGCATCCACCCACTGAGACAGTGGAGCTGATCTACGGGGAGCTCACCAAGGCCAGCTGGACTGTGACCGAAAAAGCATGGGATAAAACCGGACTCTCTGAACATGGCGAACAATGAGGGCTGATGAGACACCAAGGACAATGGCAGGGGGTTTTGATCCTACTTAATGTGCTGGCTTTGTGGGAGCCTAGCCAGTTTGGATGTTCACCTTCCTAGATATGGACGGAGGGGGGAGGACCTAGGACTTACCACAGGGCAGGGAACCCTGACTGCTCTGTGGACTGGAGAGGGAGGAGGAGAGGAGTGGGGGGAGGGGGAGAAGGGTGGGAGGAGGGGGAGAAGGGTGGGAGGAGGGGAAGGGAAATGGGAGGCTGGGAGGAGGTGGAAACTTGTTTTTTGTTTATGTTTTTTTTTCTTCTTTTCGCAATAAAAAAAAACGATATAAAAAAAAAAGAAAGGGGTTATGGATTAAAGTTGGCCAGCAGCTTAGAAAAGAGAGTAGCAAGAGCAGTATTGTATATTTGCTGACCCTGAACTAGAGGGGAAAATAGCTATGTATCTATCAGACAGCTCTCCATAAATGTTATTGAGCTTTTTGATGAGTATTGAATTGTAAAGACCTCAGTGTACACTCTTTGAGAAGTAGAAATAGTCTACATTGCACATTAGGGGTAGAACATAAATTCTATCAGTCAGCTACAGGCAGTCGGCTTGCCATACGTTTATGAATGTTAAGACTGTGATCAAGATATAGTCATTGACTTAATAGAAGGCCTCTTGATGGCTGAATGAGGAGATTCACTGAAATGTTTGAAATGTTCAAGGATGGATCAGGGTCTTTCTTGGAATATCTTCTGGATACACTGTAAACAGTGGAAAAGGGGAAATGAAGATCCCAATGCTTCATAGGTAATGCTTTTGATCATTTTATCTTGAAACTTCCTTGGTATCTGCATTTTCAAGAATGTAAAAGCCTGGCGGAGTCTTCCAAGGTAGTAAATCCCATACACACACACACACACACACACACACACACACACACACACACACACAGTAGTATTATCATATTCGCAGATAAAATCTCATTTGTGCTCCAATATAGGTAAAGCAGAGCCATTCTGGTAATGGGGTCTTGTTTCTGTTTTTTAAAAATCTGACTTTAACCCTGAAGGTGTCACAGAACAGTTTGCAAACTCTTCCATAGTTACCAAATATACTCAGATTGCTTTGCTCTATTAGAATGTTAATCTTTATGAACAGACAAAATGTTTATAAAAATGATTATTTTAACCTATTGTGAAAAGGTCTCTCCCAGTCTCCATCCCTCAGTCCTTTTCAAGTACATGTGGCAGTGTGGAGAATTAAGGTCAATTTAAGGAAGGCAGTGCCACACTCTTTGTCTCAAGAGTCCTTCTCTGGTAGAGACAGAGCCAACCCGCTTACCCCTGACAGCACATTGTACCATGAGAACACTGGCACTTCATACACCAAGGAAGCTGAAGGAATTTTGATCCTGATACATGTATTTTAGGAAGCAGAATATATTTGCTTTATTTAAGAAAGGTCACAAAATCCCACTCAATAATTTCTTATAAGTCAATACATGAAAGTTAGTTACAGGACCACACCTATTCACAAATCAGAACATTACTTGTTAATGTATTTTCTCCTTCACTCTGAAACATAGAGACCTTGAAGACATGGCCTGATCCACAGCAGATGGCATGGGAGAACGGGTAACACGGTTCCTTGCCTATGCTTGGCTCTCAGATGCATCACTTTAGAATGGTGTGACACTAGACAATCTTTGTGTCAACTCTTCTATCTTGAAAAATTGAGATAATAGGGTTCACACCTTCCGAGGTCCATGGAGATTGAGAAAGAAAAGTTGTTAACTGTAAGTTTGCTGAACTTAAAATACTGTCTTAGATATTGTCTTATACTTAGTAACTAGTAAAGAAAATTGTAGAATGTAGGTATTAATACATTTGTAAATGACTTCATCAGTTTAAAAAAACTCATACAATTTTATTTGCTTTTTAAAAATTCAATAAACATTTATGAGCATCTACTAAGCCCAAGAGTTGTGCTAGGCACTGGGGATCCAGATGCAAACATAAATACTACCATTATGGAAAACACTGGAACAGACTATTTAAAACCTTTCTTCCCCTCAGAAATTATTCTTCTGTAATTCTCTCCACAAAACGTCCTTTTATGTAACTTGAAACCGTGCAGAATAAACAGCGCGCACACTAGCTCCAATGACTTGATGAAGGTCATATGCATTTACTTTTTGAATCAAAGAACAACTAAGACTAACTAGGTAGAAAAATAGGTTAGTGATAATGACTTCAAGTTTGTGCCCGCCAGAAGCACAAATTTTATTTTAAATTACTTCACTTTAAATTATATTCCGAGACTTCCTCTATAGTAAGAGGGGTGAATATAATTCGTGCCGTATTTCCAAAGATTAATTGTAACATGGTTAAAATTTGCATTTACTTCACTGTGTTGGTTTGAGTATTTTGAAATAATTACGGAGTGGTCCCATTATTTGGCTTAAGCAGTCATGTGCACACCCTAAGCCTTAATTACCACGAATAAATCAAACTCACCCCAAATCACTGGCTTGTAACTGACAATAGCTTTAACTGTACCTGTACAGTGTAAGAAATTCAACAAGTAAGCTCAGACTCATAATGAAAAGTTTAGCCGTTAAAATAATTGCTTTCAGGCAGTGATCTGTTTTTTGTTTGTTTGTTTTGGGGAGAAACTGCAATTTTAGCCAGTTGAAATTTGGATAGTCTCTCTCTTAAGGACAGTCTATGACTAACTTATTTGTTTTTACTTCGCTTACCACGAACTACTTTTGTTTTTAACCTGGAAAAAAAATTAGGAAAATCTTGAGACTTGTTAAGAATTAGTAAAATAGATTTGGTTCTTCGTACAGGAAACTCTTTAGCAGTAAAGAGAAATCTCGGCCATATGCTAGCTAATTCCGAAGGAAGATAACACGTGGAAACTTTCCTTCACTCTTCTATTTGCTGAGCTACACACACACACAGTCAGGAGAATTGACGGCGGCGCTACTGGCAGCGTCCACACTGTTAATCGGGTCAGCTCACAAGCAGCCTTTAAAAGGTGCTCCAGAAGCCAAGTCCTGGCGCAGATGGAGTCTGTTTGTTTCGCCCGGGTGGGTGCGCCAAGGGCGACCGGGCCGAAAGGAAGGGAAGCGGATGAGCGCCCGGGTGAGCCTCTCCAGGATGCTTCGCTCGACGTTCGCGACAAGTGGAGCAGAAGCTGCCCCGGCTAATTAGCGCCGCCAGGACACGCCCCGCGCGCCGGCCGGGGTCGAATCTGCGGCACGGGCAGAGTCGCGAGGCGGGGATTAGTGCGGATTCAAATTTAAAGCGGGCAGTCCGCGCGTGGCCCAGCAGGTGCCTCGTGCCCGCTGCCCGCCGAGGACGTTTCCGCCCCCACCTGCCCGCAGGGCCGGAAATTACCTCGGAGGGGGAGCGGCCCCTCCATTGTCCCAAGCCAACAGCGAGGGAAGCCTTAAGAAAAGTACCGAGCGGCCGGGGCGGGCGAGTGTGCGGACGCGGAGCGCTCCCCGGTCCTCCGTCCAGGCTGTTAGCCGCCGCGCACGCGGCCCTTTGCCAACAACACCCGCCATGGACATCCCGAGCTAATCCGAGCGGGGAACAGCGCAGAAGATGGGAGGACGATCGGAAGACACACACAAGCACTTGACACCCCACACTCTGAGGTGAAGTTACGCTGGGGGGGAGAGGGGGGAGAAAAGCGCATGCGCCTTCCTCCTCGCCAGCGCGTGGGGAGAGCTGCGCACGCGCACGGCCGTCGCGAGGGGCGGGGAGTCCTGAAGGGAAAGGCTTGACTGGCAGGTTCGGGGCACTGGAGCGGCCGAAGGGGGCCTAGCAGCAGGAGCGCGCGTGCGCAGAGTGCGCGCGGGGGGTGGAGCTCTTCTGAGGGGGCCGGCGGAGAGCAGCGCCGGCCTCGTGCGCCCCCTGGCGCGCGCCTAGGGAGAGGAAGGAACGGGAGGGCGCAAGGAGGGAGGGAGGGAGGAGGCGGTCAGGGCGGGAGGGGGAGGGGAGCGGGAGCGAGGGAGGGTTTATCGACCGGGCGATTTTGGTTAAAATATTCAAAATGGCGGACGGAGGAGCAGCGAGTCAAGATGAGAGTTCAGCCGCGGCGGCAGCAGCAGCAGGTAATCATTACAGCATTTTACATATTCATATTCATACTCAAGCCCGGCTCCCGCTGGCCCCCCCCGCGACTTAGCATAATTTATTAGTACTCAGGATTATTATAATTAACGGCGAGGAGATGGGGGGCCGGGGAACACAGCCCCCTCCGGGTGCCGAGCGGAGGGGGAAAAGAAGCTCGGAGCGGCCGGGCGGAGGGGGAAGAAGACCCGGGGTAAAGGGGGCTGGAAGCCACCGCGCTCCTCCTGCCCCCGGCCCACCCCGCCGCCGCGCCGGCCCGCCCGCTCGCCCGCCGGCACTGGCCCTCCTCCTCCTCCGGCCGCCGCCGCCGCCTCCTCGCACGGTGCCCGAATCCGAGCGGGTCCGCGGCGGGCGACGGGGCTGGGACACCGGGAGAGGACAATAAAGACATTTTACATATTCATAGCTGCTGGGCTGGCGGGGCGCGGCGGGGCGCGGGCGGGAGACCCGGACGGACGGGCGGGCGGGCGGGGGGGGGGCGTGGAGGGGCCAGAGGTGGCGGCGAGCACAATGCCGGTGGGTGGCGAGGCCGGAGCGGACCCCAGTGCCGGACACCCGCGCGGCGCCCCCAGGATTGGGAGCCGGAGTCTGCTCGGGCTGGGGGACGCTGCTCGCCACGCAGAGCGCCCGGGGGTGGCGTCCTACCCGCGACCGCGCGGGGGTCCGCGTGGGGCCGAGCCCGGGGGTCACGGCCCCGACCCCCTTGGCCGCGCCCTTCTCGTGCCCCGGGAGGCGGCCTGACCCCAGCAGGTCCGCGTCTGTGGTTAGGGGCTGCGTGGCATGGGCCCGGCGAGGTGGCCTTCGGGTTCTGAGCCCGCTCTGGGGTCCTCCTGTTCCTTTGGAGGCTGAACTGGGTGGGAGGAGCCCTCGGGGAAGTTCCCCTGCGTGGAAATGGCTCGGTCGTCCGTGTCGTCCCGGGCCCCCAGCCAGAGGTCCCCGCGAGTCTTGAGAACCCTCGCTGCCGTGGGGTCGCGGGACAGTTTGGATTGGAGGTGCTGGCAGGATTTGGTCGCTCTTCCGCACACGCCCCCACCCCCACGCGCGGGTGGTCCTGGGGGCCCTCTCGCTCCGAGGCCCGGGAGCTCCCGGAGACCACCCGAGAACTCGACCGTAAAGGAGTGCCCTCCTGCCCTCCGAGGGCTGGCCTGACAAGTTGATCATATTCTAGATTTCCCCTGTCCTGTGGGGAGCAGGGTTGGTGGCTAGACACGGAGATCCCCCTCCCTCCTGTGTGTGGTGGTGCTTTCTCGCTGCGTGCTGGGTCCTCTACTTGCTTCTCATTTGAATAATGTCTAATTCAGGGAGGTTTATATTCTTGAAATGGCCGCCTGACTTTCCCCGCCTCTCATGTTTAGTAATTCAGACCTTTAATAACAGCCACTCACAGCCCAACGCCGTGTTTATATTTTACATTCGCCCCATGTGCTTTTGTGGTTCGATATGATTTTTTTTTCTCCTCCTCCTTGGCAATCCGCAAAGCTCTGAGATCAAACCCAGTCTGTGCTAGGAAGACAAGGAGAGAACTAGGCCTGGACTGCCCTGGTAGTTGCCTAGGCCTTGTTCTCTGCTGCTTGATTTATTTACTAATAACCAAAATGACTCCCTCACCAACTGCCACTTGAGTCCCCTCCTCTGCGGGCAGAACACATCCTATTGGGGCCTTCCAGCATAAAAACAGCTCGAGCTGAGCATCAGCTCCGTGGTGGCTTGTTTTCTCCTAAAGGGGTTTCTCTTAACAGTTTGCAGAAACATGGACCTTATTCCCATTTGCAGAGGCTTTTGAGAGCTACTGGGTTCGTACAAACGGAGGACTGCCTTGTGGGCATAGTCTTCTCTCCCCAAGTTAAACACAGTCAGGCTTTGTAAAGAGTTGTATTTGTAAAACCGGTTGATTTTTTTTTTTTTTCCTTCTAGGACCTGGGGAGTAACTAGGTAGTTTAGAAAGTCCAGTTGACTACACTTGGGTTGTTTCTCAGCGGTGCTGCTTTTCCAGTTTCTGCACTGACTCGAAGTGAGACAGACCTGCTTATTTTAATTGTAGCAGCACTGAAAACAGAAATGGGACTATGTTTTCTTTGAGTGTTGGTGTCATGGTTAAATGAGTGAAAAGAAGAGAAACACAGGCATTGTGTCTACCCTAATCTTGGAACTTACTCAGCCTGCCCACCCCTTGCTTTAAGGCATCAGGATTCATTTTGTTTTATCTAGAACTAGGACAATCGGTTTGTGAAAACCAATTAACTTTTACTGTTCAGAGAAAGCAATCATTTTGATTTCTGGTCTGTCCTGTAAGAGTTTTGTTTTTAAAAGGTATTGCTTTCTAGGGCAAGTGTATGAGGAGTCAAGTTGAATGTGTTAAATCACTGTGGTGAATATATGGAGTTATATTAGACTTTAATTAAAATTTCAGATTTAGGGGGACTCAGTGCAAACTAAAATAACGAGTTCTCACCACTTTCCCCTCTTTTCTACCCAGTAGGTAGGCTCTGAATGAAGTAAAGGGTAAAAAGCTTTCGAGAGGATGCTCAGGTGAATAACTACTTCAGAGAGCTGGTGCGTGAGGTTGGATGGACAAAAAACAGTAATATGATTTCATGCCTTAAGCAGCATATGTTTTTGCACCCAGTTTCCAAGATGTGGTCAGACTGATGATGTCACTGGACAGAGGACAAGGTGCAGTTAATGTGATTTATTGTCCTGAGGTGAAGTATAGCAATGGAGCCTTCTCGTAGGGAAACCATTTGTCTCTGGACAATTTCCTTTATAGCTGCAGTTTAACCGCTGCTGAGACTGTAGGTATTTTATTCAAAATGATAAAATACACATTACATTTTGCAAACAAAGCTCACTGTTCCATTTTTTGTCATACAGAAAACGATGAGTTTTGTGAACTGGCATTTTATTTCAGTTGGCTGTCCTTGGTATAGTAAAAAATTTATTTCCTCATAGTTTCAGATGGAGACTATAGACTTAAAGTAAGGATACTTGTAGAAGTGCTACATACCTGCTTATTTTATGTTTTTGTTTTTTGTTTGTTTAGTTGCTCTTTGTAATCCTTAACCACAGTATGGCTCAGACCTGTGGAATTTGCTTTGGAGCCTATTTTAATGGCTAAAATTGAGTTGAAGATAATGAGGCCACTATATTCTTTTTGTTAAAATTATGATATTTAAAATAATGTAAAACACTTAAGGGAAGGCTTGTGCTTTAGAAAGAATCTAGAATTATTTTTGAATTTGTCTGCATGTTTGTACATTTTATTTTGAATGATATTTTAAAGTCCTATTTCAAAGTAGTGATTTCTGTGTGTAGCTTTTGACATATTACTTGATTTTTGTAGCATTTTTTTATGTTATCTTATGGAGATGGTACAGTTCTGGGGATGTGGTTAGAAAAGCTATTTTACTCTCGACACTGATTGTAAGGTAGGCTTAGTACAGTATTTAGGTTACTTTGGGAACTTGCCTGTCTCCTTTGTATCCCATACAAGTTTCTAGAAAATCTGTTGCCACTTTCTTAACTTGCCCCCACCTTTTAATTATAGTGAAACTTTTTGAATTAAGGTCTCTGACATTCATGACAGCTGATGAAATGTTTTTCATTTCTAAAGGACTATGCTTCCAAGTCTTTACTGTAAAAGTAACTTTTAACCTTTCTCTTCCAATTCACTTTTGATTTCTTTTCATTTGGCATTGTCAAAAAAAATGCCATTAGTTTAGGCAAACACAAACGGTGGCAATGATTCAGTTGTAATGGTACATTGTTTTGTCATATTTTAACTCTGTTCTTTTCTACATCAGTAGTTATGTTTAATTGCTGCCCTAGTTTGAACTATTAGTAATTACATCATTCACCAAATTAGATTTTGGAGTAAGTTTAGGGCTCAGAATGTCAAACTGCCTTTACCAGGTTACCAAAGATATGTATGTAAAAAAAACCCCAAATATCACAGGCAAGTGCTCTAAACTGACAGAACTGGGAATACTTTTATAAATGAAATATTTGAATTGTTTCTTGAATCTGTATTGCTTGATCTTGATGGGTATAAATGTGTGGGCTTAAATTGAGACTGTTACCTTTGTATTGAGAAGACTAGCATTATGTAGTGGCAATTGCCTTGTTTTTTTTTTTTTAAGTGTTGAAAATCATAGCTTAATCTTTTTATTTTAGTTTTATTTTCAGTGCTACTAAAAATAATGATGCAGGCTGCCATCTCTTTGCTTTTTTACATCAGTATTGATTCATTAGCACAGTTTTGGTGAATGGTAATTATGTATGTTTCCTAATGGAAGTGATTTCATTTGGAACCATTCAAGAAATTTTTGTTTAGAAACTTGAACAAGTCACAGATAAAACATCCGGTTTTGGTCTCCTGTGCTCTCCTAAGTGCTAACTGTCTGGGTGAACATGTTATTTATTTTGTCATAGAAATCCAACATTAGGCATTAGAGTGAATGTTTTGATTTGGCTCAGTATCATATCAATTTCTATATTCTTTCTGAATTAATCTCTTATGTTTTTG